TCATCAACCGAAACCATAAATGTGCACGATTTTTTATTTTGTTTCATTTGCAATCTGCCAGAGCTCAAAGCAAAAACATCAAAACATACATAATTGCAAAAAAAATATGTGGTTGGCAGTGTTACTGATTATCTTTGCATTACACAGTTGCATTTCTCACTAGTCTTCCTGTAGTCTTTGCAGTAAACTGCAATAACAACAAATGAACATTATGCGCAAAGCTAGATCATGTAAGAGTCCTTAGCATTGACTGTTACTGTACAGTATTTGCTATGACAACCTATTCTTTTTGCTCTTTTATATAAACAGCATGCACTTGAGATATCATGTTGAAAGATTACCTCACAGTTCTATTTATAATGAGCAGAAGTATCATGGAAAGAAAATATCAAAACAAAGAGGACATTGATTATGAATAGATATAGGTGTAGCGTCCCTATTATAATTTTTAAGCTAATTCGGATCCATGTTCCAAAACCATCTGCATGCTGAGACTTCCTGGCATAATGATTAAAATGTAATCTATACTTTGCACGAGTCACAATAGAAAAAAAGATATAGAAGCAAAATTCAGATACGCATCCAAACAGCACTTTACAGTATTTTGTCTACCAACTATCCCATAATCTGCAAATTCCCTTGTGCGAAATTCAGTGTGTAGTTAAATACATATCCGAATTCCATAAAAAACTTAGGAAATGTATGAAGCACCAAGTTCAAGCAACTCCTTACTGAAATTTCTCAATTAAGACATTCCCTAAATTTGAATCTAAATGAAAATACATACATAATGTCCACTTAGTGTCTGAGTTGCCATAAGATGTAGCTTTAGAAAGTAAAGCAAATAATTATTGTGTACCTCTCAAGTCCGGTGTTCTGAGAAGCGGGACATCGGTGGGAGGGGTGAGAGGGGCAATTGCATCACTGTCTGTTCCCGAAGGGGGAGTACCTTTCGCTTTGTTATTACTATTGGAAAAATAGTTATAATGTGCATTAAATAATTACCAATTGCAATGTTATGCACTTGTTTTCTATCTAGTAACCTTTGGTAATTTGCGAAAAACTGTACTTACTAATTTCCTGTAAAAATATTAGCTAAAGCTACATTTGACAATGTTGATGAATAAAAATAAATCTACCGTATTTTTCGTTCCATACGACGCACCTGACCATAAGACGCACCTAGTTTTTAGAGGAGGAAAACAAGAAAGAAAATATTCTGAATCGAATGGTGTACTAAACTATTTAATAAACTATATCATAATAATATTTCAACCATGTAAAGTGAACATTAGTCAACAGTGGCATTAATAAGAACAATCACACAAACACACACACAGTCTGTTACAAACACTGGCTTTTACACACACACACACACATTGAGAGGCTATTACACACACACGCACATTCACTGGCTGTTACATACACTGGTTGTTACACACATACACACTGGTTATTAAACACAAAGGCTATTACACACATTTACACACACACACACTGGCTGTTACACACACACACACACACACACACACATTGAGAGGCTGTTACATACACACTCACTGGCTGTTACATACACTGGTTATTACACACATACACACTGGTTATTACACACACATAGGTTATTGCACACACTTACACACACACACACACACACTGGCTGTTTCACACACACACTGGTTATTACAAACACACACAGGCTATTACACACACACACTCACTGGCTGTTACATACACAGTAGCTATTACACTCATTCACTGGGTCATATATACACACTCACGGTTTCCTATCATTGCTCCATGCAAAACTCACCAGGCGTTGCTGCCCTTCTCTCTCCCACAGCACTTGCTGCCGGGATATGACGTCAGGTATCCCAGCCGTGCTGCTTGTCGATGCTCCCATCCCCTCTGAGCTAGATACATTTCAAAGAAATACTGGCACCACAGCAAATGGCCGGGTAAATAATTCACTCGGGCAGCGAATGACCGGTGGGAGAGAGGTACTCTATGCTCCCACCTCCTGCCGGTCACCTAGACAGTTTTGGCACCCCAGAGCCGGTGCACCCTGCACACATTCACTCCATAAGACGAACAGCCATTTGCCCTTACTTTTGAGAAAAATCAAGGAAATAGTTCAATAAATATAAAATAAACAAAAATAAAATAAAACATTCAAAATATATGCCACAATATATGACTTTCTGACGATTACAAATGTGAAAAAGCTAATGTCACAGTTAGCCACAGATATATGTTTGCAGTTTTTTAACCATATGCAATTATACTAGCATAATGTATATATAAAATCGGATTCTCTATTATTTAAGATTAAGTTGTATTTGCCATGACAGGTAGCCTTTAATTGAACTTTAATCATACACAGGAGGCTGCTGTACGCGCTATCAAATGATTAACAGAGCAGGAGATATAAATTTCTAATTTAAACACATAAGGGAAGCCAGAAAAATTTGGGCTATTTCTTGGACGTGTGCAGAGAGGCTGTATGAGTTGTAACCAGGGGAGGTCTGACTAGGGCTGCATGTACAAACTAATTTAACTCTTTCCTCCTTGCCTTGCAGAGTCTGCCTTTTGTGTCTGATTAAAGTTCAATTAACATTTCAGGAGAGAAGAACTTCTAAAGTAAACAAACTGTGATATAAACATGTAAAAACATTTTTCTTTTATTTTGCATTAGCAATATGTTTATTAAAAGAGATAAAATCTATTTTTGCAGATAAAATCTACTAGAATTGTGCCCATAGTTGATTAGGAAATTGCGGTTACAGGGACCAGGTGGAGGACATTTGTAGTCCATACTGCACTCTCTAGTGAGTGGGACAAAAGCAGGAGAAGCCATTGGGCCACACTAACTACATTAACTGACAACCTGAAACAAGTATGTCCTATGGGGGATACTGCTGAAATTCATCTTGGTTAAAGAGAACATCACTATGTTATTAAAGGGCCATCAAAAAAACAAAAAGTTCTCCACTGTAATAAAGTATATTTGTTGCATACATCATGACTCTTGATAACAGTGGTATTTGTGAGAAAGAGTATTATTTTCTTTTTTGAGTCCTCGTGCCTCTAGCAGTTGTCAATCAACACATTCTAAGTAAACAGGTTTCTACACCAGGCATCATTACATCAGCTCCTTGTTGATCACTGGCAATCCCTCTCACTTAGCTGTGTATTTTTTTTCTTATAATAAACTCCAAATATTGCGCATGTACGTTGCACAGTTGCAAATTATATCCTTTGGGGGTCTTAATTCTCTCTCAGTAATACAGGGGACTTTGGGGCGAACAATTGAATGGTACCGAGATCAGACCCCACTCGGGGCTCCAGCTTTTGTCAGCATCCCCCCCAGCAACACCCCTGTATCATAGTTGTTGGAAGCATAAGTCTAAGAGCTGTAATACGTAACCTTGGCATCCAGAAGTTTGTGAAGCGAAGATTGGCTAGGAATTGTGGAAAATATAACTTACAATCATCTGAACTGCCAAGGTTAGAGATCTCTGGCTTAAAGGCACAAATGAAGACATAGGGTAAACTTTTTATAGATAAATTTTCTAGCAATCTGACGATTAATACTAACATCTCCTGTAGTTGTGCCATTATGACATCTTTGCATAACAGGTACCTGTTAGCTGTGAGAAGAACCACAACCTAAGTACGCACTTCACAAGGTAAACAAGCAGCTGCAATACCTTAGCCACAGCTATCTGCAGTAATATCTCCAATCTCCGAAACCAAAGTTATAGAGTAGATTCTCACTTGGCGTATACTTGTGTGAAGAGGTAAGATACCAGAGAACTTGTCACACTTCATCTTCGTCAACTTACAAACCTTCTCCGTATGACAAAGACTGGAGAAAACTATTCACTGGCAAGAAATATTTTATTTTGATAACAATGAATCAAAACAGCAAACTCAGAGCAATCCTTTGTATTCGTTCTGTATCCTTGTGATCATGGGGATTTCATGGGATATAATGTTCTGGTATATCAGCAATATAAATTTTGTTTTCCATTGATACAGCATTAAATGCACTAAGGTTCCTTAATCCTTTGAGATCCAGAAAGTAAAAATAATGCACAACAAGGGATCCCTCTTGCATGCGGGTAGTTTAATAATACTCTGTTGTCATTGCAAATTATGTAAATGTCTTTAAAGCACTTAACTGGCAACGTAAGGATTAATCAAAATCAAAACACAGATGACTCGAGGCTAATCCACTTTGGTGCTAGGTGCTTTACATTATTTTTTTTTTACAGTTTGGCACTAAAATTATTTTGCTACGTTCATTTACAGTACCCAACAAATAGTAAATTGATGTTGTAATTATTTATATATATATATTGTAATACCAGAATATATGGCATGGCTACTTTACCTAAATGATACATGATTTTCACCAAAATAAAAGAAAATAAAAGAGAGAGAGAGAGAGAAAATAGAATGTAACCTATGCCTCAACATGTATGTGTATGATTGCAATATTGATAAATACACGTCTTTTTTTTCCCCAAATAATGTTTTCCATAGCTTTCCTGATCCCCACAGTTTCAGAGACACATATATTAACCCTGTCTGTTCCAAGTGCTGCAAGAAAATTATACCCAGAAGCAACAACACAGTTTATCTGAATTCAGTGTACATACCTGACCTGCAGTTCATCCAGCTGCAAAAGACCAGTATCCCAGCTGCACATCTGCAGTCACCACCACCACAACGTATTTGATATGCAGAATCAAGGAATGTTTTTTTTAAATTTATTTATCTGTTTCCCCTTTCGGGTTAGACAATGTCTATCATGCTAAGAGATGATGTGGGGGACTTAGCAACTGTAACAAGATGCTCAATAAACAACCCACCCACTGCAAAAAAAAGAAGAAAAAACCATGGGATGCAGAGATGCTCTCTTCTCTAGAATTACAGAGAGAAAAAAAGCCAGTGATCTAACTCCACCCCCTAACAAGGCAAATACTGAATGATCTTACCTGTAGTTAGTGCAGGGGTCCACATACTGCATGCACCTTGATGGGGTACCCAGACACTTGGCTTGAGGCTGCTACAATTGATCAGAACATTCTATATTCTAATCTAAGCATTCGAATGACAGTTTGCATAGAGATGTCAGGCGTTTGCAGCAGCCAGAGGGGGGTAGTCTTGCAATCTCCACAGACATACAGTTTTCACCTCTTGCTGTTTTCCTGCCTGCTAATTACACATATCAGACAAAACGATCTCCCCCCTTTGCAACATTAATACAACGTAACAGAATTACAGCTTGCTCCATCTAGTGGATTCAGTGGGGGTTCATTACAATTGATTGCAATTTATTTTTTAATCCCCCCCCACCTCCCATTTCCCACCCTCCCCTCTGTCTCTAGAATATCTCTCTTTTCTGTATGAAGTGAATTTGTGGTCCAGGAGAGGCGGGTACAATACTTTGCCATCACGACCACCATCATCATCATCACCCCTCCCTTCATCCCTTCTTTCAGTTCCTGCAGTTTTTCCAATCTTGAGCAGCACCACAATGATGTCACAGAAGACTGTGTGCCTCTAACCTCAAGGGATTCCCCATGGATTCATCTTCTGAATTAAAACCCGGTGACTGCATTATTATTATTTTTTTATTTTTTTTAGAGTACTCTCTATGATTAATGTATCTTGCTGGACAGATCTTTTTTTCCATTAAAACCTACAGCCTTATCATTTTAATGGGAAATTTTAATGGCATTGAAAAAAAAAAAAGATTATAAAATGCAGGATATTAGCAAAGGTTTGCATGGTTATATAATCATCAGCTGTAACCAGGGGGGCAATTAATGGTTGCACTCCAACTACAAACCAAGCTGAAGAGGAGTATTAAATAATGCACTAATATTTCCTATTATGTTGATGGATATACTTTTTGCAGTTTTCCCAGTTGTGAGTCCTTGCTGACTGGCTAAGTTAATGAACATTCTGTATGTAATATGTATGCAAAATACTTTTCATAAATTTTTTTTAGAGAGAAAGAGTTGATACATTACAATACATTGTGTATTATGACAAAGTAATGCTATCAAGGAGTTCTCGAGTCATGCATTTGTGGAAGCCTTCAGAAACTTAAAATTGCATTATTTTCCCCTTAGCATACTAATTCCTGTTATGCATATTTATTTACCATATTTTTAAGAAGAAACAAAATCAGTGTTACTCATGAAGTTTTTATTTATTTTTTGAAACAGTGGGGGTGCCTGGGACATGTTATTTTAAGGGATCCTATAGGTCCTTACAGTGCCCCCTTCTCTCGCCCCTTCTGCCACTTACTTGAATCCAGTCCCAATGTCCCTCGATGCTGGGTCAGGCTCCGCCCATGCTCCTCCCCGCCGACGTCAGCCGGCAAGGGATACCTAATGCACATGCGTGGCAATGGCCACGCCTGCATTCGGCCTCCCTATAGGAAAGCATTTACTAATGCTTTCCTATGAGGAAAATCTGATGCTGGAGGTGCAATAAGGAGACAGCACCTGAGCTGAAGTGGTCTGGGTACTTACAGTTTCCCCTTAACACTTGAGCGGTTTTGGATTGTATCTCTCTCAACACTGTAGATTTACAGGAATTTAGAAAACGTGCCCACTAACTTTACACAGGGTTTAACAAATAAATAATACATAACAATTGAAAATAATCCTCTGAATCCCCTAATATTCATAAGAGCAAGCTACAGTATAGCTCCTTCTATCCTTTCATACCATGGTAATGCAATCATTGGTAGTACCTCTGGCTGCTATTCTACTTGAGCAGTGGAATGGGGACAACATAAAAAAGTAAAATCCAGTCGCCCAATTAAATAAGCTTAATTGGGGACTTCTTCAATGATGTTCCACAAGTCCCTTACCTATGAATAGCAAGTGAGATGTTCTACTATGGAGAACTGCTGTGTGGTCATCCCTTTTCTCCTCACCTATATATATATATATATATATATATATATATATTCTTTCAGATTGCATTAAATTAAATAAATAGAAAATAAATTATTAGAGCTTTTCTGATATAGCCTTATTTATGTACAAGTAGGATATACAGGATAATAAAACAGGCAAATAGGGACAAAATATTGTTGAATAGTAATGATTTTTGAAAATTTGCATGATGCCAATGGAAATGAGAAGTGTAAGTAAAAATAAAAAAAGAATGTACGTGAAAGACGTGAGCTTTAATTGAGAAAAGATGAAAATACAAAGAAAATGTAAGATGCAAGAGGATGAATTTTAACTAAGAAATGATCATGTTTAAATGAAGATTACAATTTAAATATTTGAGAAAATAGTCAATAAAAAAGAGAGAAAGATCATGTGAAATAATTAGTAAGGATATGTCCATGAAATGAATATTCAATAAACCTCCCTCTGGCTTAAATGTTTTAGCATATCCCACTCTCCCATTGGAATTCTAAATCTCCATTACATTGATGCTAAAATAGATATTATCATGTTTTATTTGTAAAAGATGCCTCCCTATTTATGAGGAACCACAACTGTTTTTTTTTAGGTTTTTTTTACTCTTATCTGCTTTTTAGAGGATGTTGTGTTCTCTGAAAATAGTTGGCTGAACTTATATTTATTTTGAATAATAGATACATTTTTGTATAGCAACTAATAAAATATTTAAGATTTTTCATTAGCATGAGTGTTAGCAATTATAGATCTTGGATTTGGGTACATTCATATTTGTTTTCCATAGGGAGAGACACCAGTGTGAAACAGACTTTTATCTGAAAGATACTTTTTGTACATAACACTCATTGTTTCTTAGTATTTCTTTAGGGATTACTCTCATTGAAGTTTGCAACATCGTCTGCCTTACCCACCTTCAAATATATAAATGATTTCTAACGGAACACTGTAGGGATTAACATAATTTAAGTGCATTTGATAGGTTGTTGCTTCATACAAATGCTGATATTTTCTCCTGCTTAAATCTCTTTGGTTGCACTTAAAAAGGCAACTATTTTACAGATTTCTGTAGCAAACATCAACTTCTTATCCACACCTCCCCTTTTAACAAAATGTCCTTCAGATTGGAATGTAAACAGTGCAGCTCAAACAATGAGCGATCAGCATAAGCTGAACTTTTGAATCGACTTTGTCCCCACAGCCAATCACTGTCCTCTTATTATCTGGTACATGAACGCCATGGTAAAAGAATAGGGGACAAATACTTAGGAGGCAGTGATTGGCTTTGGAGCAGAGGAAGGCCAGCTGCTCATCTCACCCTGATCTCTCATTGGTTGAGCTGAATGCATACTCAGAATGCTTCTTATTGGAACATAGCCTCTGCCTTTGTGAAAAGTAGGGCCGTAGCTAGGAGGACAGTGTTAAACTTTAAAAAGTTGCAAAATATTTTTAGCAATCCTTAGGAGAATAGAATGTTATGAAAACACAGAAAGAATATAAGGTCTAATCTATCAAATGCACTTACAGGGACTGTCCAAATCCAATTAAAATGTATTTTAAATAATCATAGTTTAGTAGATATACCCCAAATGAAATCATTCATACATTTAATTAAGCATCTTTTTTTAATTGTAAGTATATTTAAAAACAGCTTACAAAACATGTAATTCTCTTCTCTGCCACCTTCTAAAGCTCTCTTCTCTCCCACTGCCCAGACTTTCTGTGGCTGTCCAATCACAGACTTCCCAGTGCAGCTCAATGAAAAATCTTTGCAGTAACTCCCTTACTTCTGGCAGATTTAAGTTCCAATTGTAAAAAAGCTATAGTATTTAGGATTGTGTATTTTAACTGATTACATAAATAATAAATACTCAAACATTTGTTTATATTTGAATATCTGTTACATGAAGTTGCAATGAACTACACCGATTGGGCTGTGAATGAGATTATTATTATTGCATTATACTCTCTTTATAAAGAACCATCATAATCTGGAGTGTTGTATATGAGTACAACTAGTACAACAAAAAAGACTAAGCTACAATACATCAGCGACAATACAAAATGGGACAAACAAATACAGGAGGAGTTGAGGGCCCTATTGCCTTGCGAATTTACAATCTAGATCCCTTTACATTCTCAGTTGAGTATCTTTGGTAAGTTTTAGTACTATAAAGTTACTTTTCTTGCATTTTTCATTTTTAATAATTGATGTTTATTGACAGAAATGCAGATTGTCACAATAACATTAACATAATGTACACATGATTGCAGTGAGTAAACAAAACTGTAAAAATTGGTAGCAGTTCTGTCGACAGACGATAGATACATTTTAGCAACAACAGTGATTGAATATTGAATATTCCCTTTAGGGATTACACGGTTCACTATACATTCCCCTATACATATACCTTCTCCAACGTAGCATGGTTGACTCCGGGGACCCCAGATAACAGGAGTAGTAGGGGGATAATTATGATAAGTTCCATGCATTGTAAGGAAATTTTGACTAAGTTGTAAGAGGTTTTTTTTCTTTAGTTTTTTTACTTTGCGTGCTTTTTTTTTCAGAAATATTAGAATAATACTCTTTGTCCAAATTCCATAGGAAAGTGTGTGTGTCTGATTGAAATTCTTCAATTGAATTCTAGGCAGACCATCAATGAGGAGCCTGTCCAGGAAGAAAAGGGTTTGTATTGCTTATTCCCTGTTTGTTCGCCACACAATACTAGTACTAGCATGGCCCGGATAAGCACCATTTTCCACTGAGATGCATTAGAATATGGGAAGGGATTATAGCTGCTTAGATGTTCACTAAGATGTTACAGGCAGCTGAGAGAAGATAGACATATTGTGAGCTCCGTACATCATGAGCAGTAACTATAGCCAATACAAGGATCAAAGGTTATTAATATGCAAAGAATGTCCATTGAACATGGATTATCTTTCCTCTGGGTTAGAATTAAAATGCTCTCTCTAGAAAAAATATCAAATAAATCGGATATACATATATTTCTTCTATTTAATGTGCCAGTTGATTTCCTGATTTGTTTCAATATGCTGATTATCAGGGAAGGAACCAACACCTTTAAATCACACAAAAGAGCTGTTTTCTCATTTGAGATTTGGTAGTTTTCTGAATAAAACGATCCTTCAGGCGAAATAAATACATCTGGAATTACACACATTAACAATGTACCTGTCTGGTGGTCATTGGAAACAGAGGCACTGCTGAATGCCCTAGGCTCAGTCTGCACTGATCTCTCGCCTTTAGGAATTAACTTATCTTCATTATTTCATGTGGCCGGTGCTGTATTATCAATAAGATCCCTTCTGTATCATCC